ATGGGCGAAGCTCAGAGGTCACGAACTGATAGGCGAGGAAGACCAAGCGTTGATTCATCGCCACCTTCGCGTGGTCGCAGGATCGCGGTCCCAGGGCCGGAGGTTTTCCTCTGGATACTGTTCCCTTTGCTTTCCTTTGTCCTTGCCTTTGTTTCGGCCTTTGCCGGCGGTGTAGTCATAGTAGGTGTTGGCGTTCCAGCCCCCATGCTGTTCACCTCCGGCTCTCTCACGCCCCTTTGAAGGTCCCTTGGCCGAAGAAGCGCTTGCACGTTCCTCCGTAGTGACAGGCGTGTCCAGGATGGAAGTACCACCTGGAGGGAGATAATCAGCAGCCGAAATGTGGTGTAGGGCTTCAGTACGCTTGGTCGTCGGGTTTTGCTGTCTCTCAGCCTTGGATCTGTTCAATCTGTCCATGAAATGCGCAGGCATTTGCACATTGTTGTCCACCAGCAATCCGATGGTCTGGACTGAATGATCGGAATGAGTCAGCAGGATACCGACGGGGTCGATGTACAAGAAGTCCACCGGTCCAGTTGGCGTTGGTCGTAGCACTGAGAATTGTTGGTGTCCTGTTACCATTGGAATCACCTCGCACAGGACGTTCAGGCAACAAAAGTGCATAGCCTTCACATCTTCATCCCTGTCGCTCTTCAAGTAAGTAGTAGGGTTGAAGTTGTCCCTGCCAATTCCCATCATGTTGGCTCCCCGTGTAAGTAACGAAAGCATCTGGTTCGTCCGGAAGCGCTTCAAGGTGTAAGTCCCGTTGGGATCATATTGTTTGAGGTTCTCAGGCTCCTTGGCAAAGCGAATGATCTCCTCATCAGTCACATCCTTGCTCACACCCGTTTCCCTATCCACTGCCGCCAACGATCCCCACTTTCCGAGCACATCATAGCGTTGGCCAAGTGCGAAATTCTCCTTCATCTGGAACAACGGCATAGTCGCCCACTTTGCGAACCCTGACCAAGCTTTGTAGATGGATCTGCATACCACGTATGCCATATACGAAAGAGCGGCCATGTTGGCGTCAATGCAATGGGCATTGCGCTTTCCAGAATAGTAGGATGGCTGCATGGCGGTACGTGCAAGTTGTAGCTCAGGATCGATGTTCAAAGACTGGCCGGTAATGAAGACGGGACGACGTTCCTGTGCAACTGCATCTGGTACTGCGTCATCAAATTCCTCTCCGGGCTCTATGTCCATTTCTTCATCAGGTTCCTGTTCTGGATCGTCCTCTGCGATGACAGATGGTTCTGGGATTTCCTCAGGTTCCGCAACGGTCTCTACCTCCATGGCTTCCTGCTCCTCTTCGGGCGACTCAGGCACTGCTGCTGCTGCGGCTTCCATAGTCTGAGCGATGAAGTCACTGGGGATCTCCGTAGGAGTCTCCCGTTGTGGAGAACCTTGGTAATATCCGCTCGAAACGAACTGTGACCAGCAAGACGTGCATCGGGAGAAACATGCTGGAACGATGGTGTAGCATGCCGGGCATACCCTCATTCTCCGTCCATCCTCGTCTCTGCGTAGGTCTTCGGGTCGCCAATTCTTGATGACAAACTTGATTCCTTTGTCCATGTAGTGATGCCGAACCGTGTTCTCCCTGTGGGACTCCAGGACAGTCGTAAGGTCTCGAATGATCTGCTCCTTGCTGGTGTCGTGGGGTCCAGGAGGCATTTCGCAAAGCAATTCCATGATCTTGCTCGGCGTTCGGTATCTCTCGAACTCAGGGAGCAACGGTGATGCATTGTAGTCCAACACCAGCTCTTTCTCCAATCGTTCATCGTAGATCTTTTCCACCAGAGCGAAAGAGTGTGTATCTTGAGGATCCGGGACGCAAAACCAGACCTCCTTGACGAAATGGAACGGTATCGTCCGGCCAACGATCATGATGCCGCTGTCTGTGATACGTCCATCTTCTCGTGCAAGGTCCTGCGATGGGACATGAAGGACCGCCAGTGGCATGTGCTTGGCATCTCGTCCATGCACCCGCATCTTGGTCGTCGCGTTCCGGTGATCGAACGGTGCAAACACCCCCCAATAGCTGTGGAGTCTGCCGCCTTGGTTGCCTCGGAATTGGCGCCTATGGTCGAAGTCCCCGTCGGGGTCCTCCGAACCAGGCATGATGCCTTGCGTGACAATGGAATCCAAGTTGCGGCATGCCGTAGCGTGGAACGCGCCTCCAAGACGTTGCAAGAGGGTCATAGATGGAGATATTGCGAACCTGTTATTGTCCAACTGAAGCAAATTGTTCTGGGGATCTGAGTGCGCAGAGTGACCACTTGTAGCCCGAACTGCCCATGGCTTCACCCAGCCGTTGCAAACGTTCAGGTACCTCTGGCTGTGCCGGCAATGATCATTGTTCTGGATCTCCGTGATCTGGTCAGGAACCGATACCAACATGTTCGAACCTGCTGATCCAAGAGTTTCCGTGCCGGGGTCCTTCACTCTCCCTCCCAGGAACTGCAACCGAATCTTGGCCTTATGGCGTTTCGTGGCTGCGAGCATGTTCCCTTGGAACAATAGCTGAAGTCTTTCATTGTACACTCTCTTCTTCTGTTGCTCATCGGTCCTTGAGACCGCTTCGGTGATGAGTCTGCTTTCATGGGTCCATAGTGGCTCATGCCTCACCAAGTCTTCGATCATCACCCACCCTCCTTCATCACATTTGATGACACTGTTGAATGCCACCTGGCACCTGTTGTCAAGCCATTCCGAGCCTGGGCGCCTGGCGATTCTGTGACGTAGGTCAGATTGGATGCATGATAGCGCCCAATCCGCGTTTAGTCTGCGTTGACGGGTGATGTTGCGAAGGACAACTTCGTTCACGATGTCCCATCGATTGTTGATGAAGCTTGCACCCCTGGTTGGGATCAGGTCGAGAATCCCGCATCGGATTGGCCTTCCGCCGCCGATGCATTCATAGCCTGCATTGGTGTAGCCCTGAGTGGTATCGTCAAAAGCAAAGCTAGGACGGTCTCCTCGTTGAGGTAGGCGTCGGTCGCGATGGTCCGAAAGCTGCTCAATGAGGTCCACCACCCGCTGGCTATTCTCTGGTCCTGATTCCTGCAGTGGTACGCCACAAGCATCATGTAGGCCCCGACGGTTTTGCACATCCGTGCAGAGATTGTGCTTGTTCTCATAACGGATCAAGACCACATCACCCCGTACGGCTTCGCCTCCGCGTCGCGGTCGGGCTTTGGCCTTGGGTCGTCGGTCCGAGGATGCAACACTCACATGGTCTGTGGTGTCAACGTCCATTGGCTCAGCCTCTTGTGGGGGTACTCGACGTGGATATCGAAGAAGGCTTTCCTTGATGATCTGGATGCCTCGAAGTACCAGATCCCGGGTTGCAGAATTTTCCGTGCAATTGGACAGAGTGTGTAGATCACTGCCACAAGCGATTCAGAACGTGAGGCGGTCACTTCCGACCGACATTTCGCCTTGAGCGAGCACTCCCACATAGTCCTGAAGCTGTGCGACAAATCCTTCACGAATCGCCTGCCTGGGATCAGGGCCTTCTGCACCTTGTTCTTCTTCGCGTTGCGCATCCACATCTACATCCTGTGCAGGTATTGGTGGAGCAACGGAGAACCCTGGATCGTCCGTGACGTTGTCAGCGGCCTGTGTCTCGTCGGTTCTCGCAATCTCTACGGGGTAGATATAACCATCGACGATCACTGTGAAATCAATCACGAGGTCAGCGGACATGTTGTTGACGATCTCAG